TATATATATACACACACACAGCATCTGTCCAATATGTCTTGACAAATACACTGTCCACTAAGCAACAAAATCCAATTATTGTGGCACAGTCTTGACCTTTAACCCCCTTTACCCAGAGAGCAGACTATAGTTTGATCAGATCTGATGTCACAATTAATCCCTGGACATGCGGCCATTGTTACGTCATTTCTTTTATTATTATTTCTCCAGCTGCCACCTCATGTGTGCAGCTGGGACATGAGCTTCTCATCTGTCGTCCGTGACAAAGGTTGGGCTGCAGCAACGTATGTCGCGTCAGATTCACAAAAGAGACAGAAACAAATGTGAGGGGAGGTGGCGCCCCCCTTCTTCTTACTGTAATCTGTCAACCAGATATTTCGGCGTCCTCCAGGATTAATTGATGTTGTGTGTGCAGAACAGACAGGCCAGGGAAAGAACACAAACAAGTCACATGACTAATGGATGTTGTTCCTCCATGCTGTTAGACCAGGCATGGGCAAACTTGCGGGCCACGTTGGGTTCTGAAGTTGAACGGGGGGCCGGGTCGGGAGCAGATATATGGAGCGTTCATGTGAACTAAAATAAATGACATGTATAAAGGCTCAAATACTAACATGCATGTAGCATTTTCTACGCCACCTATTGGGGAAACATGGGTATTGCATTTGGAAACGTTTAGCGAGCCAGATTAAGAAGCTGAACGAAGCTCTTTTTTTTTTTTTTTTTTTTTTTAATTAAAGGAGGGTCATAATGATGAGAACCATGTGGATTAGATCCAAATGACCTACGAACCGGTCCTGGTGCCTAGACCGAAGATAGGGGACCCCTGCTATAAATAACAACGACTCCTAATAGTCCAATTCCATGGAAATGTTAGTCTGTTTATGTACCAATTCCACAGAAGTACTTCGTTGATGAGGTCACACCAATTTGGTTTCAGTTTTTACAACATGGTGTTGAGGCATTGGAGTTCTAAAAAAACATTAAAAGACATTAGTGCTGTTTGCGAGACATTGTAACGAATTATATTACGATGGATGTGCTGTCTTTTCTATATTTTATATCTGTACAATATGAATTTGAGTGACGGGTTGGTGTAATGTACTGGTCAATGGAAGTCTTCATGGTTTTTGTGCACAGTTACGTTAATGCAGTGGTTCTCAATTATTTTCTGTCATGCCCCCCTTGAGGACAGAAATGTTTTCACGCTCATCCCAGCCCCTCTCCCCCCGACCCTAATTGAAATACTATTGAGAACCCTAATAACATGTATATTTCTATCTCTACAAACCATTGTATGAGTTTCTGCCACCTTGTGACTTGAGGCTTGTTATCATTCAAGCATCACAGCAGTGGTACACTTTTGTCTACCATGCTATATTCTATTGAAAGCCTCTCACCCCCTCACTCCCCCCCAATCCCCCGGGTACCTCACTGCGCCCCCTCAGGGGGCCCACCCCACTATTTGAGCAGTACTGCATTAATGGGTACTTTGACTGGAGTATTTCCATAGACAAATTCATTAGGTGACTATTTGGGGAACTCTGAAATTCACGTTGTAATGATGTCTCCATGAACCTACTTTCTCACCTAAACACTCAAAACACTGAACGTTTTTGGTTATTGTAAAAAAAAAAAAAAAAAAAGTAGGCTAGGTCCCAAATTAAACTACTGAAGTGTTCACAGCTGCTGTACTTTCTTGAATCACCAGGCTGGTTGGCTTTGTTGCCGTTGTGTCATCACGGCACCGTATTGTGTTTTGCCTCGTTTTTCCTGTTCTGTGGACGTTTCCTAAGTTTACAGAGCAACTGGTTTGAAGGAAGCTGTCGGTTCAAACATCTTGGTCTCAAGACATCACTGCCTTTTCACATCTCTTATCGTGTTTTCTCAGCTGCAGCCTCAGATGCAGACCCTCCTCCACTCCCACCCCTCAAACAAATATTGTTTTTGTGGAGCCAGATCAAAGTCCCATTGCATGTTCAGAGCTTTTTGTTTATTGTTACAATTTCAATAGTTGAGTTACTGAGGAACTTTCATATGAAGTGGACTGGTTGACTTTTGTAGGTTACAGATCTGGACTGTGGTCGAGTTCTGCTTTCATTGTTACTGTAGAAGACGGCTTAAAAAGGAAGAAAAATGTGGGGTTCTGACTCAAACACAGCACTGAAAATGGGTCCAGATTTGGGTATTTTCACAAAGATCAGACCTTTATCTATGGCTTTCTTTCGGTGAATTGATGTTAAATCTCAGTCAGTACTGTCCTGAAGTAGGTTGTTATATTTTTGGGAATTTTTTTTTTTTTTTTTTTAGTTTTTTGTAAGTGTAATGTATTGGTTCTACATAACGTTGTCGCAGTAATTCACTAACCCGCAGGCACAGATACCGGCACAGATGGTGTTGTTTTTCACCGTTTAGCTTTAGGATAGCATTTAGCTTAGGTTTAGCTTTAGCACCGTTACAAAAGTTATAAATTACAAATGTTCCAAATTCTAAATTATATTGTTTTAAAAGTTATAAATAATAAATGTTTATATCATCTTGCTTTGTATATTTACAGTTTGTCTGGAGAAATAAAAAATATATATTTAGCTTAAACAAAAGAAATCTAAAATGTTTTCCAGAGTCCAGTGAAATGTGTGTAACCTTAGCTGAACTTTGCTGGCCTGTGATGTTTCCCCTTTTGTTCCTTTACATTTCTCTCTCTCTTTTTTTCCCCCTGAGCTGTGCTGTTTTTTTCCCTTTTTTTGTACGCTTAACAATGGCAACATTCAAAAGAAGAGAAAGCTGAGGCTGCATCAGGCAACAGCCTTTGAAAACAAATTAATTTGGCTGCTA